TTTTTTTTTTTTTTTTTTTTTTTTTTTTTTTTGGTTTAAGAAAGCCGGCGGTACTTTTTCGTCTATTGAACGAGAAGTGTTCAGTCTTAAAAAGATCAGGTAGTTTTTTTTTACGGCGAATGCAAAATTACGCTTTTTACCTTCCGTTGGTGAACGCTTATTAAGTTATTTAAAAAAGGAAAATTTGGGTGTTTTGAACATTCGCTTATGTTTCTTTACTGTGGTAGATTTCCTTTCTTTTATCTTATTGACTGCCAGTTTTTACGGTTAATTTTGCTCTTGAAAGAAAAAAGGAAGAGTTTTTTTCATGGTAATCGGCAGAATTTTGGTGTGCCAGAAATAAGGATATTAAGATTGGGATAAGCGTCTCTTTTTCAGCAATTTTCTTCTAATGATAAGTTGCTTGCATGGTGGTTATTAAAAAGTAGGGGACAAGAACTTTTGGGTCTCAGAATTGTAAGGTAGCTTTTATTAAACTTTTTTGAGATTTCATTGTCCGGGGATTTCTTGAGATTTATCAGATTTCTAAGTTATTCCTAAGTTTCCCAAAGGGAGAAATTGTCTTCCTGCGGAAGATATTTTTTGTATAGAGAAATGACGTCCCGGCTGTTTTTCGGGTTTTCTTGCGAGTGTTTCCCAACATTTCGGTATCTGAAAGATGGGTGCAAAATAATGCCGTAGAGGTTGTGAATGATTTAGTTCATTTTGTTATTCAACTTTTTCCTGCTTTTGCATTCGCTGTTGACAAACGTCAAAATTACTTGACCTTTTGAAGAGCAAGAAGAATAAAAATGAAAAAAGAAGTAATTAGTTGAGAAAACGATTGTACGACGACTGAACTTCTCAATACCGTCACAGTAATATTGGAGATTTTACAAAAAGAGAAAAAACCGGAGAGATACAGAAGTTATCTTTATTTTTATTAATGGCGTCCATCTAGTGCATCTAAATACTTATAATCGATTATTCGTGGGATAAGTAGATGCCTAAAACAGGTATACATGAATATTGAATACAGGGTTGGGCAATTCGACTGGTCACAATGAAAATGAAGTCAAAAAAATTTTTTTACGTATGGTAAAGTAACAGCTAGATGAAAAATGGTAAGATAGAGAAAATAGAAATGCGTAAATGCTTTGATGATGAAGGTTCAGTTTACCTGACTGGCAAGAAAAGGAAGCAAACTATAGGGAATATCATTTCGATGAAAGGATACGGCGAAAACCCAAAAGCACATAGAATAATCAGTTGCGTTAGTTGGCACGTTGTAAAAAGGTGGACCTTACGCTGAGGTACTCGTCGGATGTAGTGGGTTGGTGGATAAGCTTGCTGGAAGGATAAAATTGTTAGGTAATAGTGGTAAATTATTGTTTTGAAGTTTTACTGATACATTTTTGGCAACTTTTGTATTTGATTCCACAGTAGTGCATACCGCAAACCTGACTGCAGTATATGCTCAAGTGAGAGAAGACAGGAGGAAATAATGGAACTACGTGGTGGTGGTTAGATGGAGTACCTGCTCTGTAATCAAAAGCAGCAGTCGTTCAAACATCTCGTTGCCACTAAGCGAAGTTAGTGCCATGTAGAGGAACAGTCCATGGAGTACAGAGGTAGGTATTAGTTGCAGAGGAGTAGGTAACAGTGTTACTGATGATATTAAAATCAATGTGTGGGCGATCAGGCTTGCTAACCGTGTTTCTCGAACGTTCATTATCCTGTAAATTTCAGATAACAATACATTTCTGAAAGTCTTTGTAAAACAGTTCATTGTCAATTTTTCTTATGAATGCAACGTTTGACGGCACTGTTTTTTAAGGGTAAGCTTGGTTGCTCTTTTTCTTTTGTTACTGAATGACAACATATGAATGATCGTACACTTCATGGACATGACCCTGTTGTACACGTTCCTCAACGTCGGCTAACGCCCGAAGATGTAACGGTGAGTGCGGCAGCGCTCCGTGCATCCACGGTAAACCGTATAGGGATAAAAATATGTTAAGAATTGCTACAACAAATAAATCCAAATTTTGGGAGGGTCCCTTTTTTAATCTGAAAACGAAAAGATAATGAGTGAAAACGTCACTTTCTAGCGAGATGTTTCTCAGTTGTTTGTTGCTTTTTTAAAACTAATAAAAGCGAATTTTTTTTGCATGTCTTTTTCCAAATTATCTTTCCGCGTAATACAGCAAAAAATTATTGATGGAAAAAAGACGTCAACAGGAAAAAAAGTATACGAAAACATTGATAAAATTTGTTTTTTCTTTTTTTTCTTTTTGCTTACTTATTCTGTGGATTGTTTATAATCGCCGATGTAATATTTTGATCCATAAAAAAGAGAAATGATAAAGAAAATCCAAGAACAGCACAAAGGAAATAGACGCGCCATGGAAGCAAAAATATATTTGCAGCCACTAGCCACTCTTTGT